GTGGCCCTATCTCCCCCTCACACGAATATCGTGTGGACGTTCAACGACCACCACCCAATCGTGAATCACCTTACACGACCTGCTAAAGGGCACGAGTATTCGTCTGCCGACTGCAAGTTATTGTTGACAGTCTCACTTATCAACCGGAGGTGAACGGTCGCCCGGATGTCTTAGAAATCAGCCCAGATTATATTTCGGACGCGCATAAGCTCATATTCTCATCTGCTATGCTTGTTGAAGCATGTGAGCTATTGATACAATTAAAGGAATATATTACAAGAATATATTATCCGCTGGTCTCAGCAAGTATGATTAATAGAACTAGCACCCTTAGCAGTAGCAGGTTACCTCCAGCAGAGGTGTCCTAGCCCAAACTTCGTAAAATGTGACAGCAGCAGTTAACTTGTTTTATTAACTACACATAATTCTAATCTAGCTTACCTTAAAATCTATCTGACTGTAACTTTATTATTCAGTTTAGACACAAACGCACCTCTTATTTTACGCAGTCGGGTCTCTTAGTTTAGATTTGCTTAGCTTTGATAGTGTAGACTAGTCCTCAAAGCTTAGTGTTAGCCTTCAGACCATTGCAATCTCAGCGAAACTGTTGTCCTCTAGTACCGTATGTGCAGCGCACTTATTTAGAAAGATGATGGTCTGACCTCTGACGCATAGTAGCGTCAGTGCGAGCACCAGTACTACTGCATTTCTTGTTGAGATTGTGGGGATATGAGCCCAGTGTTGACTTTAATCAGCGTCAATTTCTGACTAACACTACAGCCATAAATAGTACCAGCAATACTACCACTCAGCTGCACCCCTAGTTAGTAGCATTAGGAATATCAGTAGCAGTACCAGCCTTGGTTGCCAGAGCTCGGGCTTGGCAGCTATTGGATGTATGTTTTTACTCAGAATAGTTTTAACCCCGCTGGAATATGAGCAGACGTTCTCTACAGTCCAAGCTACAGATGGATACTTTCGTAGACCTATGTATATTCTATAGACGGCAAATTGCACGACATAAGGGCATGGTAGGATTAGTGCATTACTTAACAAACGCTCTATTAGTATCCAAATGTTAATCATGATTAACTCACACAGATTGGGGTGCATACTGCGTGCGACTTCTTAAAAAAACACACACGCAGTACATATACTATACTACATACTGGACTTAGTAAGCATGCTTACTAGAAATTAGCATTTTTAGCATGGGCACGTACGTGAAGCAGCAATATCTTAGTCCGTACAGCTCCATGGATAGAGTTGAGAGTGTGCAAACCAAGGCAAACACTCTTGTGCTCAAGGCCCCCAGCATGCACCTAATCAAAATAGTTTAAACACAGCATCACACTCCTTTTTAGAGACCAAATGACAAATGGTGGCGCCAGTGCTAGCACCCGTACGACTACAATTCTTGTTGAGATTGAGGGGATATTAACCCAGTACTGACTTTTATCAGCGTCACTTCTGACCTACGAAAACCGCCAGTAATAGTACCAGCAAATACTATCACTCAGCTACACCGTAGTTAGCAGCATAAGAAATCAGTCGGTATCAGTAAGTATATTTGAAGTAAATGACCGAAGCGCTTAAAAACTCCACTAAAATGGTACAGAATATGCATAAGTTTTTGTGAAATATGCAAACATTGTTACAGATCGCTTTTTTGTATAAAAGTGCATAGAAATAATTTGGAAATATGAATTGTTGAAAACGTGAGGCGTTTGCGAAATGGCAGCGTACAAATGTACACTGTATATCCAGTCACTGTGATATTCTAGTGTAAATAAATACGCTATTAAAATCAAACGAGTGGTATGTTTGTTTGTAGTGTTATGTCAAGTTGGTGTTGGATTTTAACAGATGATGGTAGAAGCAGAACCAGGCCTGTCTTACTCGAGCCTGGCTACACACCTACTAAAAGTGAGTTAGGTTAGGCAGTGCTTCTGGCTGCATCTGGACAAAGTGGCTTACGCCTGCTTCCTGCTTGGTCATCCTGACTTTGTCTTGTCACCGGTTGAAGCGGATGAGGGTTTAGAGTGGGGTAGCTGGCGGCGCGTCGACCTTCACTATACCTGACCGCAGTCATCGTCCCTGCTCTGGGTCATCGCTTGCGACGGTCGCACAAACACACACAGACACCCAGTAGTTTGCACCATCTTAAGGATGGGAGTTTATGGAGGCAATTAGTGACGTGCATAATACTACTTCTTTAATTGATGGAACGAAGTGTGATAACCTAAGGTTCCTTAAACCCCCTGTCCCTTTTATCTTCGAACTTTACTTCAAACTTTAGTCAGAATTGCTAATGTGTCTCTCCCCCTGGACAGGTCGCGGTGAAGGAATGCCCACGGGGATATAGATGGTCATGTGCGAAATCGCAAGAGAATTAAAAATTCCCTTGTCCTAAACCCACCAATAACTTAAACCCAACCCGCAACCGACATTATAGTCTTGCCCACATCCCTGTCCCTAACTACAACCGTAAGCCTAATTTTAATGCAATTTAGCTGACAGTCATGTTCAGTACGGTGGATAGAGGGCTTAGAAGCAATTTCTGCCCAAAATTACAATTCAGTATTACAGGACTCCATTTCTTAACAGTGTGTCTGTAGGCCCCAGGTTGGGTGGGTTTTTACTTCCAGTGACGTGCATGAGAAGATACCTGTTACATACTATTTATATCAAAGACTGTTCTCTGCAATCCCGAATTTCTAGGAATTTGAGTCATTCGTTCGCGTGAAACCCGCCTTCTTCAAGTACAATCTCAGCTTACTCTCCCACCGCAAAGCTGTTGTCGCCTTCACTGACCCGGAGATACGCATCGTGGTTGGGCTTCCATCGGGCGGCGAAAACTTCCTCTTCTTCGACATAAAGCTCACGTTCGACGACAAGGACTTCACTGAAGACTATAACGGTGTTTCTCTACAGTAGGTCTTTTTTTGGTAGTTTTCCTTTACCTGTTTCCAACAGACCTCAAACACCGTTTTGTTTCCACATCAAAAAGCCTGTTCGGAATACCATGTTTCTTAATCCGCCTATGCATTGGATAAGTTTCCCCTTTCAGTCTATGCTACTAGTTGTAAACAACATTCAATCGCCAGCAATTATCAGAATATTTTGCTCGAGACGGAGACTTGAACGCTTTTGGACATATTATAGCAAGATGCTCACAGATAAGTTTGGGGAAACATTTCAGAAGAAGAAGGTGCGACCACTGGAACAAGAGTTTTGTTTTCCTGACGTTTCGGATTCCATTGGGAATCGTTAATCATAGTTAACGGTATGTTCGTCTGAGTCATGCGCTGATAGGAGTGAAACATGCACAGACTGCACGGTATTTATAGTTCGTAGCGACCATCCACGTACGTACTATCACTATCCACTCCTACAGCCACCGCTTGGGTCTTAATTGGTGCGTTGATGGCTTGACAATTCGCGTTCGACTCATTATTGCCGCAATTGCTTTGTCCCTGTCGGATGCGGGCTCGGAAATTGCGCGACAATTATGCTCGATGTCGTCAGAGTTATTCCTGGGCCCGGCCTTTCCCACGTGACTGATTCTTTTGCTCAGGCAGTTTCTCAGTACGCATTATGGGAACGCCAAATCGCGCATTTTTCATACTTATCTGCGCATGCCTCAGACTAATCTACCATTACCTATGATTAAGGATTCACAACGGAGTCTGTCGCACCTTTGGGGCATTGCGATCTGCTGAAAATCATAGCTCCGATGGTTGTTAACCTATTGGATGACCTGTTTATCCGGATGGATAGTCAGTCTGTAACGATTATGTTTAAACATGATTCTAAATTGACCCTCACTAGCCCTGATTGAATTAATTTTATTTCGCGCGAAAACACAAGTATATATGTGTTAAACGCGTACACGGTAGGATTTAGAAGTTTCCACTTTTGTGTCCCTGCCCTTTTGCCATAGCTGCTGTCCTGTCTTTTGACATGATGATTAAAGTTGAAAAAATTATCATGAGAGAATTCAGAAGCATAGCTGGCGAGCATTAGTAGCTTTTGATTAGTTATCCTCGAGTCTTAACATTTACATATAAAGGAGGTTTAAAAAGTAACATGCTGGATTTTACGTTCAAAATTACAGGCAAATTACTCATGGGAATGTGGGAAGGGGCTGAAGTTTACAGAACTCGGCAGGTTGGGAGGCCATGAGGGTTTGTTGTATCCAGACAGGGGGAAGGTGGAAGGTGAAGAAAGCGCGCAAAGATGCAGGCGGTTATGTAACCATTGGCCATTCCAAGCTCGGGGCTTGCATGAGTTTCTTTTGCGCGCACAAAACCGGCTTCCTCAACCGGATCGTAGTTACTTCTGCTGCTGATAGGAAACGCTGACGCAGGGACTTTGGGTAGGTTGGCGGGACCTTTTAAATTACCTTAAAGGCTTCGCTGGGCCCCACATGATGTCCGGAGTCAACCATTTGCGCAAGGATGGCGCTGTTGATGCTTTTCACTTCACTTCTGCTCAGCCATGCCAAGAGGTGCCCCCGTATTCTTTTGGATGAGCGCCGACTCGTACGACCGATAAAACTTGCTCCATAGGAGCAATCAAATGAGTAGATGCACATAGAAGTGGTCTGAACGGGCAGTTTACCGTTACCTTCGCCATGCAGGACCGGGTCGTTTGAGAAAAACACCCGAACTTTCACTGCTGAAAAGGTTCGTGATATGGCTTGGTTGAGACGTCTGCTAAGGAGTTTGCTTAACGCATCCTCTTGAAAGGTGACTTTGAGGGATAGGGTCTTCTGTTCCCCAGTGATGATGATTGTGAGAAAATACATTGAAAAGGTTGATGTTGTATTCATTGAGATGAGGCCGACTCGATCACTTTCACAATAGTTTTATTAGCCTGGCGTTTCGAGATCCGTCGCGGAATCGTCATCAGAGACATAGTAAGGACTGAATTAATGACTTTATCCTATAAATAATGCAAAGTCCTGTGCATACGCTAGCCGTATCTGCTACTGCTCTCCGACTATGTATCTGATGATGAATCTGTGGCGGATCTCGAAACGTCAGAAGAATAAAGGTATTGTCCCAGTGATCGAGTCGTCTTTTTCTCAATTACTCCATGGGACTCGCATGTTCGCTTTTATTGTCGTAATCATTGTCGTGCCCGAACTACACTCCGGCTCTTCGTCTGCGGGCGCGCATAGCTTATGCTGCCTCTGGTCGCTGGCCGCCAGTAGCAGAGCTTGCTTGCTGTCCAAAACGTAGACTTGTCTTCCTTGACCTACTTCTGACGTAGAAATTTCGGCCAGGTTTCCTATGCATTACAGGATGATGTTTCGATTAAACAGCAACCGCAGTAATAGCCAGTCGTTATCTACTCTGTGCATTTTTCAAATAATGTTGGTTTGGACGACACAAGTTTATGCCTTTCAGACGTTATGCCCGCCATGAGTTTCTGGATAAGGAGAACCGTTTGGTCTTTTATGTACGTCCACCAAAGCCAGGCGCTTATCTTCTGAAGATTTACGTCAAGCACACGCAAGAAGAAGTTACTATCGCTTCCGACGGCCCAAAAACCGTAAAACAGTATCAAAAAGTGTGTGATTATGGGCTGAGAGCGAAAGTTCCACCCAATGCCTGTCTTCCACCCTTCCCACACACCCTATCTACTGACTACGGCCGGGCGAAGGTAGGTCTCCTTCTTCACCTCCCCGTTTTGTACGGTAACCTGAAACCGCTGTGCCATTGCAGCGTGCATGTTAAACGGACTGTATATTTACAAATATTTTCCATTTGAACACAAAATATGATAGTGGTGGCACAAATGCCACTATTTATTTTACGTGGCTTCGTTTTCTCCTGCTTATTGAGTGATGCGACACCAAGGAACCAATGCACTATGACTGGGGTAAATTGGCGGCAAAACTGTCTTATAGGGTTCACAAAATATATAGTTCACCAGCCCAACTGCTTAAAGTATTGTGTTGTCAAACATTTAATTGTTGGCTAGTCAGTGCAAACGAATAAGTAATTGTGACGGAAGCGATCAAAAAATATTGACTCAATTAATATTATTTTTGATTTAAGATACTTAAATATAATAAAATTTCATTACCCGTGAATTCTTGTTGCGCAGGTTACGGACGCAAATTGAGGTAATTTCGACCTTATGTATGCGGAATTTAACGAAAGTACTAATTCTACCCCCAACTGGTTGAGTTTAACGAAAGAATTGAAAGTCGGCCTATTGAAAACTTGAAAGTAGCTATTCTATTATGAGCTGACCCCATTTCGAGTCCCTAAAGTCAATTCTGCCAAATTGGCTTTGCCAGGCTTGGGAGCATATGCAATTACAATTCTGAATAAGAAACTTCATGATTTGCACTATATATATATAGTGGCAAAAGTAATTTATGTAGGCCCACTCATATACCCCTATTCCCAGTATTTTGTCGTGCAAACACGATGGTTATCGAGCTTTAGGGGTGGAAAAATCAAACAACCAGAAAGGGAAATTTTTTGAAGAAAGAGTAAAGTGGAAAAAAATGTAGTCGAAGTTGCTTCCCGCGACCGTTGGAAGTAAGTTGTTCCACATGTAAATTGAAGGTGTGCGCGGCTCTTCTCGCCGCAGACTATACTAATTTAACTCCAGAACGATACGTTGGACCTGAGGATAGTTGAAGTAGACGACTTCCTAACCAACAGCTCAATTTTTCCGAAAATTCAAGAAACCTACAATTTAATACTTAGGATTTTCCGCAATAATGTAAATGGTAATCCAGATTAGGAAAATCTACAGATATAAATCAACAACACATCTAAATACAGTAAAATAAAAACGCATTTGGCATTTATTAAAGTATAATCCACTGCGTGTCCTAATTCCCCACCCATAAAACCCTATAACCTCCGTTTTCGTAAGAAAACATGCAGGGAATATGGATTAATGTGTAGGTCTACATAAGCTACTGTTGCACAAACAATCTTTCTCCCACTACCTAGGTGCACTCGACTAAAACAACGGAGCTAGTATGGGGCAAGATATGGAAAAGTTCCTTTTTTAATGCCACCAAGGCTCCTGCACGTCCGTTATTTTTGCTATGCCCTTGTAGGCGGCAACGAGCTTCAACATCGGCGCAGTCTGTCGGGATGGCACTGTTCGCGCCACTCAGGGAACCGTTGAATTACGCTTCTCCAGCCTAGATTCGAACAGTCCTTTGCCTCAAATGATGGGTAAACTCAAGTGCACGGCATTGTCCGCGGATGCCATGAAGCACTGCATCGTCCAACGCCCCCTCTCCAACAATACAGAATTTGTCTTCTCGATTTTCCTGCCAAACGCGGGCGAGTACGTTCTACAAGTTTACGCCAGCGACCCCCGACGTGGTGGTGACTCCTACGTGATGGTGAGTTTCTCTTTTAATTTTGCAGTAGATGGCACCGGGGTGCTTCCAACTACACTCCTTCCTATTCCTCCCCAAAATGTTACCTTCTCACAAAAGCGTAACCGGGCGTAATCGATAATCACACATACTACCTACAGTTGAATGCCTACTCCAAATATTCTGTATTGTCCTCCCCTTGTGGGATGCCGCGTCACGCATCTTACCATAATCCGCTAAGGGTCATGCATTCAGTAAAACTAAATGTATTTCTTTCGTAAAAATTGGATGACAGGCATCCCAAAAATGTCATTTAAGGGAGCCACGTTCTTCGGGATAATGGGGAACTGAATCGACACTGAATCCGCAAGTCGTCCTCAGAATTGTGAAATTGTGCAACGATCAATTAAAATTTTAAAGGTGCTGGTCCAGTTATATAGTCATCTAGTGTGTGCGCGAATTGGCAGCTACAATTTGCGTCACCCTCTGGCGGACACAATTATTAGTCGCAATAGGGTAATGGCAAATTGGTAAATGCAATTTGCGTCGGTCCGGGGTCAGTCCAGGTTATCCGCTGTGAGCGTTTTTGGAAGTTTGCCCCTCCAAAAGGGCCGTAAATTTCTTGAGGCCATGCACCCCGACGATTCATGCATTAACCAACTTATCGAGTTGGATGCAGTGTACAAACATCTCAAAGAAAAATAGAAAAGACTGCAGCCGATCACCACGGACCAATTTGAACCGCGATTAGAGCCCACAGCAGATGACACGGACTGAAACCGGACCGACGCAAACTACAGTTGTCAATTAGTCGTTACGCTATTGCTACTAGTTATTGTGTCCACCACGGAGTGACGCAAATTGCAGCTGCCCATTTGCGCACACACTACATGACTAAATAACTGGACCTGCATTTTAGAAATAGTAATTGTTTGTTGCACAGTTTCTCAATTCTGACGACCTGGGGATCCTGTGTCGAAAATGTACTGAATAAATTTTCCTCATTATTCAGAAGAACGTGGCTCCTTAAAATAAAAAAATTGCTTCTCGAACCATTTGCTTTGAATGACTCGCTCTCGTGGAATGACTGACCGTAAGTGGGTTGTTCTCTATCTGGTAATCGAAAACGTCAGCTTGAAATTTTATTGATGATAAGCGTGCTTTATTATACCAGGATATCTCTCTCACGTCCGGAATTTGACGTTTTGCTAATCTTTTTTCCCAAATGGTTCTCGAAGCATGAAATGTTTTTGATACAAGATAGGCGAAGCGCATATTACTTAAGCATACATTTTGTAGAGTGAAGTTGTTGCAGGCGCTCGCCATTAGTTTGTTTTAAAGCCAGTATTATGCGGTTACTGAAATATCTTGGGACTCGGCAGCAAAATGATTAATATCAGAAACGTTTTTAAGTTACTTCCGAATAAAAAATATATTGCAATAAAATTATCTTCATTTCACGAGATAACAAACATTTTGTATTTTGCGTGTATTTTGCACGTCTAAATAGCATTTTAATTTTGAATTAAATTAATGGTTGCCGATTGGTCGGCATAGGAAAATGTATTTCATAATGGCAATGTTTCTTATATGATGCTTTAGCATCAGAAAAGAAAAATATAGCCTTCAGTATAAGTATACGTGATCAAGGAGAGATCCAGTACACGCACTCTGACCATAAGGTGGTTTTACGACTTTGTCGATCCATTCCTTCATGAAGACGATTAAGAAATCGCCTCTTACCAGTAGTGATATAAAAGTGACAGCAAATGTGTTTGAAATCGAAGGTAAAATTAAAAATAATTATTCATATTTATGTAGTACAATAGCGGGTGAAAAGGGAAACCACAGCGTGCGCGGAAACATCGTTTGTTTGAAAAAGGTTATAGTCACAAATCAGTTGTTGCTCCGTCGCTTGAAACTCGCTATACGTTCGGTTTGTTAATGCTAGCCAAAGCGTTTTTATTGCTTAAGCGTGGTGCAGTTTCCTATTTGATCATAGCACTAGAATTAACCTTTATTACTCTCGAGTATTACATTTATTCCGAAGTATGGAAGGTGGAAGAGGAGCGTTTTACTGGTCACCAATTATTGTACACATACAGAAATCACAAAAACCTAATAGCAGCCCTTTAGTGCACGAATATGCCTTTGCCCAATCTTTATAATTTCGGGTACCTTACTATCTTAATTGGCCATATAATATAGGCTGTCAATTCTCCATTTTATTTCATTATATATCAATATATGTTTTTTTCGTCGTAGGATGTTCAAAAAGAATTGGGTGAAGGGAAGTCAATGACTACAAATCTCTCTGTGTTCCGCTTAGACTTGGAGTTACTATTTAAACTAGTCAGTAGAAAATTGAAACGCATAAACTTCAATAATTGGCTGCTTTGGCAGCTACACAAAAATCTGTGTTGTTGCCTGCAGGCGGGACTTCCAAAGTTGTTATGAAACACACTTATCTCTGCAGTGATCAAATTGCCTTCATCTTTATCGCAGGAGAGTACAAATTAGTAGGCAGAAAGTAAAAGAGCCACATTTTCCCTGCGGAGCTTAGCGGACGAAGGACGATCTGAATGATGAGAATATTCTGGTCTGAGGGGCTACACAAACACGAAGAGTCCGGAAAGGTTTGTATAATCTTGATGTGGAGGGTAATACCCAAGTGTGCCACAGAATGCTTTTTTCTATGATGTAAATATCCCGTCCTTTGGCTCTTTTCTTACTCAGCTATGGCGATACCTGCTTATCTCAGATCAAGCCTCTCCGGTATGTGGCTTGCCCAGTCTGCCACCTGACTACCTGGGGCCCGGTCCCAAATTCGCGGAGTTGGGCCTCTCGACGGTGAGCCATTCTGATCCCTTCATCAGGGCTGACACTGGGGAGCTCTGCGTTCGCTTGGCCTACCAGGAGAGTCTGCCGCTTAAGTGGAAGGCAAAGCTTATATTTGCCAAAAATGATTCCTCAGACGACTGCTCTAACATGGTTAGTTAATTTTATCTGTTTTGAACT